TAATGAAACAATGATAGTAACTTGCAAGTACCACTGAAGCCAAGAAAATGTTCATAAGAATCAATGCTGATGTGTTGGTATCTTCAATTTTCTTATCTAAAAATTCTTTAAGATATCTTTCTTTCATTTTTTTTGGAGTGTGTGTGTGTGTGTGTGTGTGTGTGTGTACAAAGATGATCAATTACCATTATTTTCAATTAATAGTCTATTGTCATGAATGTATGAAATATAAAGGCAAAATTCTACCAAGTCATCTTTGTATTGCATACCAAAGTGATAACTCTTATTCAATATAACCCAGCTGTTTACTGGGCTCCAAGACTGCAATCATAAGAATGCAGAGTTAGGGTTGTATCAGTACATGGAGTTGTTTTCTCTGTGACTGCAAAGGTACTATTGGTATTACAGTTGTTGAGCACAATCCCTACAACAGTGTTAGCTGTCATGCAGAACACTAAAGAACCCTTTAATCTATGTTGTTTTTCTTATGTATTTATAAATGGATATGTTCTTGATACAAAAAGGCACTAAAACTCATACTATTCTGTAAAGTGAATTTTCCTTGCAGTTGAACTTTTATCACATTTAGAATTGTTCTGTATTAGATAAATTTTAGTGCTTACACCCAGTGACAAGCCACAAATGTTAGGGTCAGCTATAATAATAAAATATTTTTCTTGAAATAATTGAATAAGAATTTAATTTGTAGTTTTTATTTTTAGCTAGTGGAAATGTTGAATATATAAAAGTTAATTCTGTTTCTGAAATGATAAAATTTTCAGCAACAAACAAATGTTAGTTTTTATTCTTTCCCCTCCTCTTTTTTACTTCTAATTTACATCCCTGTCAAAAAACATGAGCACATAATTTTCCGAACAAATTTCGGAACACCAAAATCAGTATCATGACTTCTCCTCTTTAATGGAAGTGAGAGAAATTATCATTGGTTCCTAGAATAACTCTGCATCTGAGGTGTTTTCTTTTAGTCCATGTCTTATATAGATGACTGTGTGGTTAATCATTATTAGTGAATTTAATTCTCAAAGTCTTCCTTCAAAATCGTAACAGAAAAAGTCATGAAAAGTGAAAAATTCAAGCACATGCCAGGAAAGTGCTTTACCACTGAGGCTCATCTTGATGTCATGTGACATCAGTGTCATGAGTGGAATAAATGTGTAACATCAGTGTTGCACATGAATTTTCAAGGTTCATTTGAGTTGGCACAGATATCAGTGTTTGAGAGGATTTTTTTAATTGAGTTAGTACTAAAAAAATCTCCTGTGGGAAAAAAGAGTCAGGAATAAGATGACTTTATAGATAATCTTTACAAATAATTTTAAGGTATAAAAACATTTTCAAACTATTTAAAAAACTGAAGAGGTGACAATGCTTCAAACTCAGTTTATGACTCAATCACTATTCTGATTAGTAAGACACTAAAATAAATAAAAACAAAATCATTTTTTGATATACTTAATGGTCAGAGATCTAAAACTCCTCTACAAAAGTGGATGCAAGCCTGAGCCAACTTGTGCAAAGCAACAAGCACTATGCATCACATTGCCAGAATAGAGGATGAATCCATATGGGTCATTAAAAACACATTCAGAAAACAACAACAACAACAACAACAACACTTAATGGTACTTAACAAAGTCACTCTAGCCAAGATGCAGAGTCAACCAAAATGTGTCTCAACGGGATGACTGAGAAAGTATATGTGCGATATGTGCACACTGGAGTGCTGTTTAGCTATATTAAGGAATTGTGTCATTTGCAACAGTGTGAGTGAACCTGAGCACTTATGGAAAATGAACTAAGCGAAAAACCCACCCACTGCAATCTGTCACTCCTGTGCGAATTCTAACAAAGATTCATCTCATAGACATGGAGTTGCATGGTGGTTCTTGGAAGCTGGGATCAGTACAAATAATACTTGTGGAGATGTTGGTTAAAGGGTACAAAATAAACTCAAATGATTTATGGTACAGCATGGTGATTATAGCTGTTGACAATATATTGGACTTTTGAACCTGCTATGTGAATGGACATCAGAAGTTCTCACTACAAAAGTGATAACTGTGTGAGGCAATGTGTGTTTCAATTAGCTAAGGTTAATAATACCACTAACTCACTGTGTGCCTACATTCTCAAGACAGTGGTGCTCACAGTGACTCATCCTCGATCCCAGGCTACTCTTTCCAGGTTTTCCATAATCCCCTCCCATCACATCATCCCTGGGGGCTCTTTGCTTCTCAATTATTCCTTCTGTACTCTAACTTCAACTTTTTCTATAACCCTGGTTAAGCTTCTGCAAATCTAAAAGACTGAAACTAGAATCTGAGGAGATACTATTTATTTGTTCAAATTCAAGACTTTCTAAGCAAATAAACATTTTCAACATTTGATTCCTTCTTCAAAAAATGGTTGTTTTATTCCTTAGTTTATGCGTAAGTAAAAGGAGAATATATATGAAAAGAAAATGGTAGCTGACTTACGATAGGATGATGAATCTCTTCCCTTTACAAAAAAAAAAAAAAAAAACCCTGAAATTTGTCAATATGTGTAAAATAAAATAGAAAATCATGAAAAGATATTCGCTGCTCCAGAACACAAAGGGAGGCATAGGCAAGGCTTGATAAATATTCACTATCATCACCATTCCCATCATTATCATTATCACCACCACCATCATTATTATTGTCATTTTGTCATCAATACCACCGCTCTCAGTTTTACATTATCTTATTTCTCATTCTGTTTAACTTGGATAGTAAGTCTTTTAAAGATGAGTAGAATTCTGTAAACTGTTTGTTGCCTATGATTTACAAGGTTGATATTTGTAGAAAATAACAGCACAGCATTTGGTCTTCCAGTGTAAGCAGTGTAGAAAGGATCTGGTCTTCCATAAGTTGGGAGGAACACAGGAAACTTCAGGTATACATGATCCTGGGATTCCGGCGTTGGCCATGTTTCTGACCTCACCTAATGAAACCACAAAGTCAGTACAGAGGGAGATATTTTGGTCTAAGCATTAGTGTCTTCTTTCTTCATTTCCAGCACATCAGATGGTAGAGAGCTACTGTTTTTGAGAAATTTCAAGTCAGTGTTGCTCAGAGATATTTTAGTCATTACCATCATTAGTTACTATGGAGATATTTATTTGCATGTTAATCCCTCGTTAGGCACCCTTACTGAGACACTAAGTCATTGTTATGTGGTCCCTCCTCATACATGGATATTACCTCAGACATTTTTTTAATCGGTACCAGGGATCGAACTCATGACAGCACACTTGCTAGGCAGGCCCTTATGCCACTGAGCTAAATCCCCAGCCCCCTTCAGATATATTTTAAATTGATTAGAGTTTGGAACAGAGGTATCATCCTCCACGATAATGGCTATTGTAAAACAATCATGCTCTTGGATCTTTCTGTTAGAATCTGTAGCCCCTCACATCCCCTATGCCCTGGGCCATCCTTGGACTTCATTCAGTGTTGGAACAATGTTTACACCTTTTAAACTGACACCTGGTTTCAATGTAAATAATGTATCCTTATTTAAGGAAGTGTATAATGTTATAGTCTCTAGGGTTGAGGAATCAGGGAGAGAGATGAAGCAACTGGTTTATGTTGCTAATGGTGATTATATTGCAAGTTAGATAAAAAGTAGTGGCTATCCAGCTTATGCTTACATTGCTTGCAATTTTCCTATAATCACTGATTTATCCTTAGAGTCTTCTGTTCCTTCATCCACCTCTCAGATAGAAATTTAATGTTCAGATACTTTCACACTTAACTCCATAGGGCACACTGATTGTATTTCCTTTATTCCAGGCAATTCTTTACCCAGTTCTCTTCATCAATAATTGCATAGCTGAAAGAGTCTCACAGATGCTACTCTAGAAGTGTTTTGTAAAAGGGCTCTTTGTGATTGCAAAAATTTTTTCTATTGTTCAGTAGGTGAACATTTGTAAAGCTGTCAGACTAGGAAGGTAACAAAGCATGTACTGATTAAGCATACTACTTATTTCCTACTGTTGCGCACCTCATTTGTATACAGTTATCTTTCTTCTTTTAAAACCCAACTTCTTTCTGGCTGCAACACAGAGCATGAAAGTTGTCAAGAAGATGATCTCTTTTATACCCATAAGGGACAGTGGTGTAACTATAGTAGGCCTTTGGTACTTTTGACCTTAGAGAGCCTTCCCACAAAGAATAATAATTTTATTTGTGTATATATAAAAGTGGATATAATGCAAGTTGAGTTTCGATTATGTTTAACTTTTCTTCCTTTTTAAAGGAAATTTAAAATGAGAGGGGTGTCTAGATATTGTGTGGTCTTGGCACTCCTTTTATTGTGTCTCAGTGTCAGCCCAGGCCTCTGTATTTGACCCTAATGAAAACTGAAGTCTCTATCAGGGGATTATTGCACTAAGAAAATGTAGCATATATACACAATAGTGTATTATTCAGCCATAAAATTAACAAAGTCGTTATTTGTGGCAATATAGATGAAATTTTTAAAAAAGTAGTTAAAGAAAATAAATCAGGAGTGAAACAAAAATTTCTGCGTCTTCTTACCCATAAGTGGAAATGTGAAAAGCTGACTAAGAGTCACCAAAAGCTTGAAAGATTATGTAGGCATGGGATGAAGAGAAGTTGGATACTAGGCAGAAAATAAGAGGAATGACTTTTAGTATTCTACGACACAGTAGGGCAGCCCTAGTTCACAACATTGCATTACATATTTTATAAAGAATGAGAAGGCAGGAATATAACGATTGGCATCACAAAAGAAAGTTAAACTGCCTGATTCGATCAGTGTATGTTATATATGCATACATATATGCAGAATTATCATCTTGTATCCTACATTATTATATGCCAATTGAAGAATTTCATGCAGAGAAAAAATTGACCTCAAGTTACTCAATAAGGAGAATAATTCTATATAAATTATACTAGATAATTGTAGTCTAAATACATAAATTGCAAGATTTACTCAATGTCCCTTTTGATTATTTGACCCCAATGTTTCCTCATAACATTTTTTACTTCCTCATTCCTGAGGGTGTAGATTAAAGGATTCAGCATAGGTGTTATTAGGGTACAAAACACAGTCACTGCTTTGTCAGAGGGGAAGGAGGTCATAGGTCTCAGGTAGAGATATGAACAAGGCACAAAGAATAACACAACAACCATGACATGAGAGGTGCAGGTGGAAAGGGCTTTGTGGCGCCCTTCAGAACTGTATGTCCTCAGGGAGCACAGAATAATGACATAGGAAACAGCCAGCATAAAAAAAGTGATCAAACACAGCGACCCACTGTTGGCAGCAATCAGGGGCCCCAGAGTGTGAGTGTCAGTGCAAACCAACTCCAGGAGTGGGATTAAATCACACATGAAGTGGTCAATGACATTGGGGCCACAGAATGGTAACTGGGCAATAAATAGGACCTGTATTCCCCCATGAACAAATCCTAAGAGCACAGCGGCCCCCACCAGGAAAGCACACACAGATTGACTCATGATGGTCACATAGTGCAAGGGCTTGCAGATGGCCACATAGCGGTCATAGGCCATGGCAATAAGCAGGATTATCTCAACTGCTGCAAACATGTGTTCAGCAAAAAGCTGAGTCATGCAGCCATTGAAGGATATGGTGCTCCTTTCTGAGATCAAGTCAATGACCATTTTGGGAGCTATGCAGGAAGAGTAGATACCATCTATAATGGACAAATAGGACAAGAAAAAGTACATGGGAGAAGCCAAGGCTGGGCTGATGAAGATGGTGATGGAGATAAGCATATTACTTGCCAGTGTGAGCAAATAGGTCATGAAACACACAATGAATAAGAGATTCTGGATTCGTGGATTTTGAGTGAGGCCCAGGAGGATGAATTCTGTTACATTTCTCATGCTTTCCATGTGGTTGTGGGTTGTGGGAATATGGTGCATCTGAAAAAAAGCACAATATTTTTGAATTATCGTAAATACAATATGAAAACAGTTTATTCTCTTATTAGTGTGGCTCTCTGATGGTGATGAAGTACATCTCATTTTTTAAAAGAAAATTTTAGAAGTTTAGATTTCCCTAATTCATTTTAATGGAAAACTGAAATTCCTTACTGAAATCACAATGCAGCAAAATATTCTTAGGAATGAAAGTTGACAGATGGTTGATATCTGAACTCTCTTTCTATCTGAAAAACCTCAAAGCTGGCCTGTCTTCAGTGGGATAACTGACATTATTTGAGTAAGCAAATTTTCCTTTGGTTGAAGTTTTTTACATAGAGAATTAAGCTCTGAATACAATGACTTTCCCCTTACACTTTACAAATGGAATTAAATTGAAGCTGAGTATCCTAAGGTGAAAATATAAATGTGAATCAGCAAACATAATAAATTTTCCCCTTGTGGAATAAATTCCGGAACTAAGATGATTTGCTGTTTTCCCTGTTGAACGGTAAAAGTTTTGAAATTGTACATTTTTATATGAACTAGTCTCAGACTTTGAAGAGTGAATCTATGTTTCCCAAGAACATGAGATATTTTACTCATTTTCCTCTCTTTTCCACTTTTTAAAATTTAAATGCCAAACATTTAAAATTTATTTTTTCAAAAATTTTCTGTAGTCAAATATCATTTCCATTAGAAGTAAGAGAAGTGTGGAAAGATACCTTTTTGTCAGATAAATTCTGTTTCTGAAGTGTTTTCTTTTCAGTTATTGGCATCTATAGACGGTAATTATGTGATTAGTTTTATTAATTGATTCATTTCACAAATTCTGATTTCAAACTACCATTAAGGAAGTTATGAAAAAGTGATACATCCCTTCCATTGCAAGGAGAAGTATCCAGATTCAGCATATTTAGAGAGATATAAACATTTAATCTGCAGTTTATAATGACCAGTTATTCTTAACAATATCTGGTTTGTAAAATTACAGAGTGTTTTTGTTATTTATTTCCAAATTAAGTTCTACTGCAAAACACTATTTTTCAGATCAAGTTTGCAATGATAAGAATTAGTTTAGTGAAAAGAAATTAGCTAAATCAAGTTAATTTTTTAAAACTTTGTAAAAACCTGTTCAGTTTTCATTGACCTGGTTCAGGTGACTTGTGCATTCCTCTTTGTAGGCTGAGTGTGGTCATTTTGTTCGTCCTGTCCACAGCCATGGAGCACACTTTCACTGGATTTCATAATCTGATCAGTAAGACAATGAAATCATTATTTCTCAAGTAGAATTCTCTAATCTAGAAATTTTAGCTTATTTGATTTTCATTGACTGCCTAGATTTACTAAGAAAATGAGCTGTTTCAATTAAGAAACTTTGATAGCTCAAGATTGTATTTTCTACCTATTTCTTTTTCTCCTGTGAAATTACAAATGAATCTTAATATACATATATTCTTTTTCAGAACTCTAAGCCAAATTCAGTCCAAAATTAAAAGTAATGGAAACAAAGCCAAACTATACAAAACTAGGAATTCAGTTTCTTCAACACTATAAAACAGGAGTGAATAAACTTACTTGGTTGGACAGTTTTTTCCTCCAAATTTCCCCCTGCCCCACACAAATGATGTGGAGAGAGAATTCTTTGCAGCCCTAACTCAGTTCCATTTTCAGCTCCATTTCCCTGAAAAACCACTCAGGAACAGGAGCAGCATCTCCCTAATGTTCAGCTCCTCAGTCCATGACTCTGCTGCTGTTTTTTACAACAGATTTTTCTTTGCAACACCTTCTTTACTAACTCTGGAAACTTTCAAAGAGATTTTTTAAAGTTTTAAAGAAACTTTTAAAGAGACTACAGGGATTTGTGTTGACCTCACAAGTTCCCAGAGGGTTAGTAATCAGCTCTGATGAACTCCTTGCCAAGTAACAATCAAGTATTTTCCATACTCCCCTTCATGGCTACTTATATCATTAATGGTTAATTTCAGAAAAGCAGGCAAAGTGAATTTCTAGATTGTAGTTTGGAAAACTTCTTTATTTAGCATCTTTGGTAATTGTGACATTGTTGAACCTGGTCTAATGTGTAAAGTGGTCTTAGGCATAGATCGGACTTAGAATGAATTTGTCTAAAATCATGGCTGAAAAATAACATGGTTTCTTTGATATGAATTCTGTTTTTTGAGGAATATAAGGATTACATGTCTGTGTTAAAGGTTGTGTGCCTGATCCCCTTAGGAGACTGTGACATTTTTATTAGTAACTGACTGAATGATTTCAATTGCAAGATTCCTAGATATCAACAAATAAAAGTTTAGTACCATTTATTAAAGAGACTGTCATTCTCCCAGTGAACACGTTTGGCCCCTTTATCAAAGATAAGGTGGCTGAGTGTGTTTGTAGTTGTGGTTGTATCTTCTAATCTATTCCACTCATCTTCAGCTCTGTTTTTATTCCAGTACCATATGGATTTTATTACACTTGCTTTGTAGTATAACTTCAAGTCAGGGATTGTGATGCCTCCTGCCTTGCCTTTGCTGTTTAGAATTGCTTTTGCTATTCTAGGTTTGTTCTGGTTGCAGATGAATTTTAGGATTGATTTCTCTAGATCTATGATGTATGTTGATGGTCATTTCATTGGGATTGCATTGAATCTCTATAACAGTTTTGAGAGAATAGCCATTTTTACGATATTTATTCTTCCTATCCATGAGCAAGAGATGTCTTTCCATTTTCTGAGTTCCTCTTCATTTTATTTTTCATGGCATTATAATTTTCCCTATATAGATCTTGTACTACTTTTGTGAGATTAGTTCCTAAATATTTCATTTTTTTGGATGTTATTGTGAAGGGTGTCGCTTCTTTTATTTCTTTCTCAGTGAAAACTGGCTCTCCACATGCCAAAAACTAAAATTAGACCCATGCCTATCACCATATATTAAACTAAAATCTAAATGGATCAAAGATATGAATATTAAAACACAAACAGTAAATAAGTGGGAAGACAAATTAGGCAAAAATCTTGAAGATATAGGGGTAGGTAATAAGTTCCTGAACAGGAATAAAACTGCACGGGAAATACTTCCCAGGATCAATATATGGGATTACATCTTATTAAAGTTTCTGCATGTCAGAAGAAATCTCCAGCATAGTGAAAAGAAAACCCACAAACTGGGAAAAAATTTTAGTGAATTGTCCCTCAGACAAAAGACATCTGTCTAAAACATATAAAGAATTAAAAAATATCAGACCCCCAATTCAAAGGCCCAATCCAAAAATGGGCCTGTCACATGAATACACAGTTCTCTGATGAAGAAATACAAATAGCAAATAAATATATGAAAAAATGTACATCATCATTACTCATTAGAGTAATGCAAATTAGAACCCCACTGAGATTCCATTTCACTCCTGAAAGAATAGCCAGGATCAAGAAACCTACCAACAACAAATTCTGGAGAGGCTGTGGGGAAAAATGAACTCTCCTGCACTGTTGGTGGCAGTGTAAATTGGTGCAGCCATTGTGGAGGTTAGTCTGGAGATTTCTCAGAAAGCTGGTGTTGGAAATCCCATTTGTTCTAGCTATTCTACTTCTAGGCATATTCTATGAAGAACTGAAATCATCATACCACAGGGATATATGTGCACCCATGTTTATAGCAGCACAATTTGTAATAGCCAGATCTTGGAAACAACCTAAGTGTCCATCAACTGAGGAATGGATAAAAAAACCTCAGGTATTTTTGTACACTGGAGTACTATTCAGCTATAAAGAATGATTCAATGAGATATTTATAAAGAAATGGACACAACTTGAGACCATACTCATTAGTGAAATAATGAGATATTTATAAAGAAATGGACACAACTTGAGACCATACTCATTAGTGAAATAAATCAAACTCACACGTATAAATACTGAATAGTTTCCTTAGTGTAAGAAATGGTAAGAGTACATAAGACTTTACAGTAATCATTATGTCCCCATTTCATTGCCCTGAAGCCTTATAATGTCTGCATTCATTAGTTGGAATGGTTTTATTCTAGTTTGTTTGATTTTATTATCTGTGATAGTATAAACAGCTATTTTAAAGAAAAGGAGACATTAGAATAGTCTGAGCTGATTTAGTATCATCTTAGTCTGAAGTCCTAGTATGCTCTTGTTTTTCTGATGCCTTTGGTTCTATCCTGTTGTATTTTGTTGGCTATTATTATGAATGATAAAATAAACAAATTTTCCTTGGAAAGTGAGATAATATAGTAGCCATTGTTCATTCTCTGCTATTTGAATCTAAAAGTCTTGTAAGGCTTTCATTTTCTTGAATGGTTTTATACTGTTTTTGTTATGCTTGATACTATGATATATGAAGCTATGCTCAACTATTTCAAAGAAAGAGACTCTCTGGTAGTTTCTGTTAATTATGAGTTGTCTTGTGGTGAAATGCTGTGTTGCTTGCATTGTTCTGATCTGATCTGCTTTGTTATGTCCTCTTTTGTCTTAATGTCTTTAAAATAAAAAAAAATAAAAATTTAAAATTCATAGATACAATCAAGTTCTTTCATAATGATTACTTATGTTAATTCAGAGGTATGTATCTTTTCTTTTTATTCCACCAGAGATAACAGAGATATTTATTTACTTTGCTTTTCAACCAGAACTACTGAGATTATAATTATCAGCCAAGTACTCAGGGATGAAGACATCCACATATACATAATAAAAGCACTTTTGAAAGGAAATTCAACTATGCTCCTCTTTTCTTCAGCTTCTGAGGTGATAAAGAACTGACTGCAACTTCACCAGGAGCCACCAACCTTTTCTTTGAACAAACAGCCATGCGTGTGATTCCAAGAACAAAGAAGCAAAGATTTCAGCTGTATTCTCAACACTCATCACTTTTTCAACTTTTCTTTTCACCAAACTCACTCATAGTCCTGTTATATAAAAGTGTGCTTGTGTATACATCATAAAATGCATAAAATTGTGTATATTATGATGTATACATAATCAAATTTTTATGCATTTTATGGTATATACATATTTTATGGCATATACATATGCCATAAAATATGTATATACCATAAAATGCATAAAAATTTGATTATGTATACATCATAAAATGCTATTTTTACCACTGAACTACTTTCTGCTTCCTAGATAGGATGATACAAGTTTTCCATGCTTGTAATTTAATACTATTTTGGGAGGGGATATTGCATTAATAGTTAAATTCTGCTCTAAAGGGAATGCCCCAAGCCAGATGTCTTCACAGCTCAATCCTTTCAGACACTTAATGAATAAAAACAAGTCTGAAATTGTTCCATAAATCAAAAGTGAGAAAAAACTGCAAAAGTGTTTATGAGTCCAGTATTATACAAATACATAGCAGGAACACTAGAATAAAAAGGAAAAAAATACTAGG